AAATGTTTAAACACCCACCCTCCCACCTTAAGTTTGCACTGCCAAGCCTTTTACAGGCCTGACAGTGTAGCACGGTTCAAAATGCAAACCAAATTTGCCTTTCAAACTTTGCCCCTCTTTGACAACCGTTTTCACCTTTTTTTTTTTTTCTAAAACTCATTTCTTAAATCCTACCACTTTTTCACAAAATGTGTTGCACGTAAACCTAAAAAAATTCAATTTTTTAATCACACATCTTCCAAAAAATCACTATTTAAAACTTATTTTCCAAAAAATAAAAAAAAATAAATCTCTTTTTAATGGTTGTTAAATAGGAACTTAGTAAAACAACCAAATCAAATATAATAATATCTACTTTTTTCATCATAAGAGGAATCCTACCCGTTGGCTTAAATCTTTCTTTATTCAACATAAAATCTTCTATTTTTCATTGCTTTCATCCTTGCCGGACGGTGCTACTTGTATAGGGGATTTCCACACTACAAGTGCAAGGGAGACGTGTGTCTCCCTGACACTTGTATCGGGGAGAAATCCTCCGTACAAGTGGAATTACCTGTTTTAATGAGAAAATTGCAGCCAACATCTCTAAGAATAATACTTGTGTGCCAGAAAATGTATGACAATATATGTATTGGCATGATTTGATTTGATTTTGATTGTGTTTTAAATAATTCAATGATTAATAGATTGTGATGTGATATTATGTTAAAAATTATGTCAATCATTATGTTTGTGCAGCACGATTGCATCTCAAGCTTGAAAAGTTGAGCTTAATCCACAAGCAACCTGTTTGTGTTCAAGTTAAGTCCATGTTTGATTTCCATTAAAATTATAATTCATTTTTCTCTCTTTTTATCAATCACGCATTTTTTTTAATAAAGTTATATTACACTTGATTTTAAAAAATTTTCATTTTTAATCACAAGTTTTAAAAAAAATATTATTCTAACCATTAAAATTTCAAATAATAAGGGCTAAACGGGGCTAAACATATTTTACCACAGTGCATGCTACGTTGCCCAGTCTTGTTCAATCTACCTAGAATATCTTCTCATCATCTTTTTTGCAACTGTCTTCCAACTGATCGAAACCTTCTTGTGGGATATCCAAAGCCCTCTTCTCTTGCACTTGCTTTTCATCTTCAATCTCATTTCTTTTACTCTCTAGCCATTTCTTCTCTCGAGTTTTTTCGGCCCTTATCTTCATTGCCTCCAATAATTCCTGAACAGCCTTGCTCTTGTCTCGCCGGTTCTTAATCAGAACCTCACTGATATCGGCAGGCGTCATTTCAGCCTCATCAATCACCCCCTCCAATTCCTCCAACACTAAATTAGTTTCCTCATACCCCAAATAATTCTTCAACAGAATCTTAAATGCAGGAAAAGAACAGTAACTCATGTTTATGTGCATGTCCATTCTCCCACTCCTCAGCAATGCAGGATCAAGCTTCTCAATATGGTTTGTAGTGAACACGAAAATCCTCTCACTCCCACAACAAGACCACAATCCATCTGTAAAATTCAGCAATCCCGACAGCGTTATTGTACTGCCGTCGTCTTCTTCATTAGCCCCCAGTGGCGCCGGAGATGCAGCATCATGGTTATTTTTTCGGCCACCGGAATTAGAATTCTTTTTCCTATTAGTCAAGTTGATTGAACAATCTATATCCTCGATAACAATAATGGATTTCGAGCTGGTTTTCATAAGTAACTTCCTCAACTCAGAATTTGTTTTCACTTCAGTCAATTCTAGATCATAAATATCATAACCGAGATAATTAGCCATAGCTGCAATCATGCTGGATTTTCCAGTCCCGGGAGGGCCATATAACAAATACCCTCTTTTCCAAGCCCTCCCAGTTCTTTGATAAAAAGACTCTCCATTTGCAAAATCCAAGAGATCAGCCATAATCTCAGACTTTTTCACAGGATCCATTGCTAAAGTATCAAAAGTACTAGGATGCTTAAAGGGCACGGATTGCCATGGATGACTTCCAGAGTCCGAGGAGCCACCACGTGAATTTGTGTAAAGCAAACGGTCCTGATTTTTCCTACGTATTTCATTAGCCTTTTCCATAACAAAATCAAAATAAGAACCCAACACCACCTGTCTGTTCTTTTTCTTGACTCTGAGAGTGAACCCTCTTTTTTCTTCAGGCAGTGGTCGCCAAGAAAATGTTTGGGATTGTCTTTGAGTAACAACGTGTTCCCATTCGACGGTTGCTCCATTATAGGTATCGACAAGGCTGTCGTTGTTGGAGACCCCGAAGGTGATGGTGCTGGAATTGAGGCCACGCGTAAGGCTGACGCGGGTGCCGGCGATGGAGGCGGAGCTGCTTAGATAGAGTCGGACGGCGTTGTAGAGTTCGTTGGTGTTGACGCCGTCGATCTCGGTTATGTCGTAGTAACAGTAGGAGGAGAACCAGTTGAGGCAGCGTTGGAAGAACTTGTGGGAAGCTAACCGGAGCTCCGGCGGGAAGACTGTGTGTAGAAGGGACTGACAAAAAGCCAACACCCCCATCATTGATGCCATGGTTGTCCAAATCTCCTTCATTTTGTTTAAAGAATGAACTGGTCAAAGATGTACTTTATTGGTTATAATGAAAATTCAGAGAGACAGAGAGAAGGCCTATGTAGGAATGAGAAAATATGTTTGGTCCCATTATTTCCACTTTTTTGTTTTCTCCTTTTCAATTTTTGTGAGCGCACGTTTGAAATTATGGTTAGTGTGGCAACTACAACTACCACATTTTGACTATTCAATGGAGTGTTCCACATATTAAAGCCGTCGATTACATTTATGTCCTTGACATTATAGTTGTAAATTTCACGTGAACTGCTTTGGTTAAAATGGTCGAGGGTAGTTGCATAAATTTTCAATTACAAAGTGAGTCACCAATGGACGGCGACATATAATCTTCTAAAAATGGATACCAAACAAGCACGTAATCTTGTAAGAAAGAGTTGAAGATGATGAGTCGATATTTATACATGAGCTAAAATAAGGATTATAAATTTTTTGTTCATTCGTAATGACTTATGATTTATAAGATTGACATTTATGGAACTCCAAAACTCATAAACACAATAAAGTATTTGGCAAATATACTCTGTTTATTATTTTGCCCCATTTGATTTTCCTAACAATTAATTTTTTAATAGATTTTAATAAAAATTGATGACATATGTAATTGAAAATTGTGAATTTCGATAAATATATAGTTAAAATTAATTGTTAATTTTGACTTAAAATTTTTTATCCACTTTTAAACTAAACCAAACATGGCGTACTTTTTTTAAAATAGTAATAAATTCTAATTTGCTTTCTTAAAAAATAATTTTTAAGCGACAAACCTCACGTCTTATCAGCAGAAATATATTCTAATTTGCTTTCTTAAATAAGATTGAGCCACTCAGCTAAAGTCCACTTTGGCTGCTTTTTTTTTTAACTTTTCTTTTGTTTTTAAGCAAAAAATAAAATAAAAAGAGAACACAATACCAACACGAACACGCCAGACCTCGTGAACCATTTTATTAAAGAAAAATTACTTATAAATGAATGAGTTCCTTTTTATATTTATAAAAATACTCTCTAAAAGCAATTGCAAGAATTCAGACGCAGAAAAGTACCCTGTATGTAGTGGGCTATCGGAGAAAATAAAAAATATTTAATTTTTCTTACTCTCTCACTAGGTATATTACAAAGTTCTTATAAGCTAAGTATGACTGGTCTAAATTCACTAGTTTTGATGTTCAAAGTTCAAACTTGAGCAAGAAAGGAAATAAGATATTTGAAAAGAAAATATTTGAATTGCATGCATTTCTCTTCAAATGATGAGATATTTAAGGTCTGTTTGAGCCCCATTTTATGTGTAGAATGCATTTTGAAATAGTAGATTGATGGAGAATGTGTGATTAATAGTAAATGAAAAGTTTTTGGGTTACATGTAATATTATTTTATTGAAAAATGTGTGGTTGAAAAGAGAAAAGAAAATTGTGTTAAAAAACAATGGGGATCAAACAAGGTTTTATAAATTTGCTTTCAAGCCTTGGGATAGCTTGGTCTTTTTGAAAGAATGATAAATGAAAGCTCATTTTTTGCTATCTTATAACATATTCGATTAAGAATCACGCTTTCTTTATTAGCACACGTTCCTTTTATTAAAAGCTTGAAGCTAGCCTAGATTAGGGAAAATGGTTTGCAAAGATTCGGGCTAGCCTTCTGTATCTTTGTTCCCTTCACGTAACGCTTTATGCTCCGCCAATAGCTAGTTAGGTTCACGGACTATGTTTCAAGTGTTAATAAATAGTTCCCTATGTTATTTTATTATTCATATTAAGTCTAAGACTTAAATTGTCTTATGTTATGATTGGCGAATCTATTAAGGGCTTTGACGTGGGAAACGTGAAGGCAATCACTATCATTGTACGTGTACTAATGGGCCTTATTTTCGTTTTTCATAACTCTTTAGGAGCATGTGGGTGACGCGTGATTTATCTCGTTTATCTTAGGATTCGATCAGCCGTCTGTTCATTTTCAACGTTCATTATTATTACTATCGTGCTTTAATAACTTAGAATCTATAAATATGCCATTGATTCTATTGGCATTCTTTACTTTGCTACCTTATTTTTCTCAAGAAAATCTTTTGCTTGAGTACCATCCTTTCCTTCTCCTTCTTGACATCTTTCATGTAATGTCTTCTCAAGTGGATTTGTGGAGAATAAGTGGCACAATGAAGGATTGTGTTTATTATATTATATTAGAATTAAAAAAAAAATCTGATTTTTGAATTTCAAACTATAAACCTTATTTTTGAATTGGTGTAAAGAATACACCTTATTTATGAATTTTTCCCTTAAATTAAGTTCTTATTTCAAATGTTTAGGCTCCTTTAATGGGCTCTTCATTTTTTTATTTTTTATTTTTTGACATGTTTGTGTATTAGAAGTAAATAAAAAGTGAAAAGATAGAGAATCCCTTCTTTCCTTTAACTTTTTGCGTTCTCTTTTTCTTTACCTTTTTACTGGGGAATCAGCCAGCTTTCATTCAAGAAAATGAAAGATTTATCAAAGATTACGCTACTTGATTTCAAGAATTTTAGGCTCATTTCTCATAATTAGATTTAAAAATGATCCTAGTGCTTTAGAAATGCAAGAAACCAGAACGAAAAATCAGTACTATGATAATAATACTTCCCCCCCACCCACCCCCCCACCCCTCCTCTCAATAATTTTGAAAAGATGGAATGCGCTCGTATGCAAGTTATTGGTCCCTTGATTTCTATGTTAAAAGAAAAACATAAATAAATATTTTTTCATTATAAAATTTTATGTATTAGACCGTCAGTAAAATATAATTTGAACGTGAAACGATGTGTTGAAATTAATATGCTAATAAATCGAATACTTTCCTTAATTTTACAAGGCTACTTCACACTACCGTGAACTTAAAGCGATTTTTTTTCTGTAATGGCCATATTTTAGTGGTTAAAGAGGAAAATAATTCGATAATAATTTTTTCATTTAAAAGATTTTCTGTGTACATCGTATGTCTAATTTATTGTTATGGAAAATTGTCTTTTCCGTGTTATTCACATCCTTCCTCACCTCCACCTAACCCGTGCCTCCTCTTTCTTCTATTTTTACCCTAGTGAGGCTCTTGAGAAGCTATCGAGTTGATGCTCTGGAGGCTCTCAACAAACTATCAAGTTAACTGCAAACTCTATATCATCTACGTTTGTCATTCAACCTAAAAATTAGTAAAAGAAATTTTCTTTTTCATCGATCTCTCTAATTTCTTTCTTTTCAGAGCACTTTCAAGAATATTTTAAATAAATTATTCTCTTTATTTTTAAGAGTCAATGTTTAAAAACAAGTTGAAGACTCTGTTCTAACTTGGGTAAATTTGCCTCTTTATGGGACTTTGGAGTTTGGACCTTGACGCTAGGCAGCTACAAAAGTCCAATCCCAAATACATACACCTCCACTTCACACCCGCGCACTGAAATTTAAGCCCCTCAAAGAGAATTCTTCCTTAATTTTCTAAATTGCACGCTTTCCTAGGCTAAACCATCAAGTAAAACTGCATAACATATTTTCACTACTTTAGCTAGCAGTGAAGAAGTTGCGGGGAATGTTCAAACTATGAGGTAATTATTATTGAAATTTACACAGCTGTTTGTTGGGTTTCGCCATTTATGTCCAAGCAAAGGAATGGTGGCATGTTTTGGCAGTAGTATCATTTGAAGCAATTCATGATCTTTTTGCATCCCAATTTTGGTTAATATTTGGAGTCTTTGCTATTTTTTAGTTCGGTTTCTTGAAATAGAAAGAAGGAATCTGCCTATTGCTTGTGCGCCTCAATTTATGAGCTGGATTTGTTCTCAAAGCAAGCAAAAGAAATTGGGTTCTTGGGATTCTTAACGAGTGATTTCCTGTTTGATTCTATACAGTTGAGTAGATGGTTCTTTGTTATGTTGCCTAAATGCTAAAATGTCTTGGATTCAGTCAGCATTTGGAAGCAAAATCAGCCCAACAATTCTTTTCATCATAGTAATACTAGCTGCTATATTCTTCGTTTCTGGTGCTCTCCACCTGGTTGTTAAATTTCTTGTGAAGCAAAGAAATTCATCATCACAGTCTAATCCAAACCCAGAAATGTCCACTTCTGGTGCTTTTCAAAGACAGTTACAACACCTCTTCCATTTACATGATTCAGGTCTAGATCAAGCCTATATTGATGCACTCCCTGTGTTTCTGTACAAGGATGTTGTGGGCTCAAAAGAGCCATTTGATTGCGCTGTTTGTTTGTGTGAATTCTCAGAACAAGACAATTTGAGGCTTCTGCCTTTCTGCAGCCATGCTTTTCACATTGATTGCATAGACACATGGTTACTCTCAAACTCAACATGTCCACTTTGTAGAGGGGTAATTTTGGCACCTGAGTATTCTTTTGAGAACTCATTTTTTGCCTTCGATGATTCGAAAGATGACGAAAGAAATTCAGGGAATTCAGGTCTTGTTAGTGTTTCTTGTGGTCCAAAGACAAATCAAGAAGATAGTAGCATTATTAGTGACAAAAGGGTTTTTTCTGTGAGACTTGGCAAATTTAAGAACACAAATTATAGTCAAGAATGTGAAAAAAGAGAAGTGGGAGAGACTAGCAACAGCAATATTGACGCTAGGAGGTGTTTCTCAATGGGTTCATTCCAATATGTTGTTGCAGATTCAGACCTGCAAGTGGCCTTGTGCCCTTCTGTGAAAGAGAAAGGAGGGCAAAGTGGGAATTTCAAAACTGATGAGGATGCTTTTGATGAGAAGAAAATTAACACTAAAAGTAAAGGTGACAGCTTTTCTGTTTCTAAGATATGGCTGTGGTCCAAGAAAGGTAAATTTCCCAGTTCCACGAGTACTCATTGTTCTGACTCTATTGATGTGAGTTTGCCCTGAAATGATTATGTTCAGACTATACAAGAAGATGCCAATTCAATCCTTGTCTAGTAATAACAATAGTTGTACAAGTTTTAAAGCTCTTGTCTAGTAGTTTTGTTCACCGTGAAAACCATTCAATTCTTAGAGCTAAGGGGCTTCTTTTGTTTCTTTTTCATTTTACGTGTATGTTTTCTTTTTGAATTTAGATCTGACAATAAATTGAATGGAGTTGAGAAAAAAAAAATTTGTCGACGAGCCTTTTAAAGTTTTTCTTGGTATGTACTATGACTCTATCGATGCTTGTCGTTTCGGATATTTTGGCGGAAATAGCAACAAAGCGAACAGAGCAGAGAAGACTATCATAGCCGAAACTAATTTGCCATCGTAATTATATCAACATTGGCCCTTTTCCTGTAGTATTTTTATGCAATTTACGGTAAATGATTCTTCTGTTCTCACACTTTTTGGCAGATGCCTATGCCTACTTTTTCTTTAATTCAAACCTCACAAGCTTCATGGGGTAGAGTGGGGTGGCGGGTCTGTAAAACTGGTGGTGCAAAATTTGCTCGTCATAACTCTTCCCACTCTAGCCCACACAGTAGTGAGATAAAATGCTTTAAGTTCATCCTGACACAGCAAATTTCAGTTCCCAACGTTGTTTTTTGAAAATTCTAACTCCCGAGGACATCTCCTGTACTAATTTGGTGTAATTTTTACACTAAATTAGTGTAATTTTCACTTCAATTTGAGGTGACCTCTTAATGGTTATACCAAATGAATAATATTTTCTTTATTTTATTATTAATTTATTTTTAATGATTAATTTATTACAAAAATTATTTAATTTTAAATTATATTATTACTATAATTATTAAATTAAAAAAATTATATTTAATGAACTAAAATATTGCATTTATTAATATATAAAAAATAAATACTTGATTAGAGTTGACAAATAAAAATCAAATAAAAATAAAACTAAATAAAACTAAATCATTAAATACCAATAGGTCAGAAAAATAATAAAGAAGGAATTACAATTTGTTGTAATATAAAATGAGGGACAAAATGAAAATAATGAAAAAGTTTAAAAATTACAAAAAATAAATAGTATTATACCAGCTTGGTGTGATAATTTGATGAATCATTGGAGATGCTCTAAGATTTGATTTGATCAAATTGAAATATTATTTTCTAACTTTTAGTTTCGTGGATTCTGATGCAAATTAAGGTTTTGGCTTCAGAAGGAGGTGTCCTTTAAGTTTTAGTGCTTGTTTGTCTCCCATTTTAGGAGAAGAAATATAGTTTTGAATAGTCTTTTTTGAAGAATGTGTGATTGAAAAGTAAAGTAATTTTATTGGTTTGTGTGTAGAATATTTTATTGAGTGAATATGTGGTGGAGATTATTTACTGTAACAAATAATACTTGATAAAATGGATGACAAACAGGGACTTAAGTTTCTTCAGAAGTGTCTTGCCATGAACAGCGAGAACTTCTAAACTCAAAATCCTTCGCTCCGATGTTATCCTAACCCAACTCAGGAATAGACAGTAGGAACTGCAGCATGAGAAATTATTGTGTTTCTTTGTAAGGTTCATCTTGAGTTATAATAATGTGGGTAGATTTATCTTATCAAAGGCTAGGGCACAATGATCCCGTGGCTTGTACTATCCATTGGAACTCTTAACTCATAGTGAGTACATGTTGGGTGAAAAAGGAGTTGTGCTAAATGTATATTGTGCTTTAAATTTTTGTTGGCATTCCCCTTGTGTGAAAGAAATTTATGCACTTATGATATAAATGAGTTCAAAAATCAATGACTTTGATGAATCCATGTGCAAAAGTGTCGATCAAGATGTAAAGGAGGGTGTACATATGGCATGGTTGGTGAAAAAATTAAGAGAGAAATGGGATCATATCTTTCTTGTGTTTGACACCCATTTTGGGAAAACAATGAATTCTGGAATAGTGATTGAAGGAAGAATGTGTGGTTGAAAGGTAATGAAAAGTTTTAGATTTATATGTAATATTATTTTATTTGGAGAATGTGTGATTGAAATGAAGAAAGAGAAAAAAATGAGAATGAGAATAAGTGTCAAACAGGACCTTGTATATTTGAAAATTCACCAACGAGTTGGGTAGCATGCTTAGAGCCCGTTTGGTAGAGATTAAAATTGAAAAATTAGTCGTTATTGTTGACTTTTATTAGACGAGTGAGGTCCAATAACGACTATATTTTCAATTTTAATTGGATTTTAATCTACACCAAACATGCTCTTAATGGCCTCATTACGGGGTGAAAATTAAAATGGTGGGACGTGTGAAATTTAAGAGGAAGGCACTCTTGTTATGATTAGAAAGTTTGATTTGAAAAGTTGACTTTGAAGTGAGTGGGCAGGGGTCCACGGAGTATTTCAATCTACCTTATCATGTCCCAGTGCACATGGCGCTTATTTGCTGGGCATCTATGCGGACAGATGCCCAGCCAATAGGGGGCGTCACATGCGCCTCCGGTTCGTCGGCGCCCCCGGTTCGTCCAGTGGTCTGTACAAATAGTAAAACTCTCCAAATATACTCTTTGCCGTAGCACCCGTTTAGTTCTCATTATTCCACGTTGGATTATACTACATGTACATAATAATGATACATAAGGGAATACATAAAATTATGTGAAAGGAAATGATTAGATGAAAAAGTTGATTGTGTTTTAAAGTAGCAAATGGTATAATGTCATGTGATATTATTTAATCCCTTATGTAGACATTTATGTACATTTAGCAAAATCTTTCCGCATTATAATGAAAAGAATAGTAATTTTTTGGAAAATGTATGGTTTAAAATAAGGAATTTTTTATTTATTTATGTGTAATATTATTTTATTAGAGAATGTGTAGTTGATAAGAAGAGAGAGAAAAATGAAGCTTGATAGGAAATTTTTGTGTAAATTTCATGTCATGGGGTATGGATAATGAAGTTGAGTTGTTTAGATTAGAATGGTTATGAATGTTAAGTGAGACGAATCATTGACTAGGTTCGTGTTCAGACGAACTGCGAACACGAGCCAAGCAATGAATCCCTCGAGTTGCTCGCATTAGTTGGCTCATAAGTTAGGCGAACTAGCTTGAAAGCGACTCACGTTTTAATAAAAAAAAACCGCAATTTTTAGCTTAAAAGGGACGAGTTGTGAGTAGCTTGCTAGCCAATTCGACTCGGCCCACTAACGGGCACGAGGCCCGAGGGTAAGCGAGCAGCTCAACTCGTCCATTTAACTCCCCTAAAAATGGTTCTACATACTTTAGGCATAGTTCGGCTTGGTCCAATTCATTTTTCATCAAAATAATAGTATGTGGGACCTCCAGCGAAAGGAATGATTTATGTTCATTTGGCAGCAATCGAGGACTCATTTTGAACGTCCATTGACTAATATCACTTGCTGTGACTTGAAATTTCATCATAAAAAGTTAATTCATGAAGTGAAGTATTTATAATGAAAATTATAGAGACGTTCTTGAAATTATCGGTATATATATATATATATATATGATCATGTTATTCATCACCTTCAAAGAAAAAAGCTGCTTTTCCTGCATAACTATTAGGGTCCGTTTGATAGGTAAATGTGTAAATGAATTCCAATTCCATGTTGTTGAAAAATAAAATCCCACCAAATCCATAGAAATTCGTTTTCCATGAAAACAAAGAAAATACAGTTTAAAGTGGTTGTACCTTGAATTTCGGTTTCCATTTCCATATTGCAATCAAACGGTCAAAGTGGAATTCGTTTTTCTCGGATGCGACGTTTTCCATGAAAAATGTGACAATCAAACGGAGCCTTAAATTTTTTGAGTAACCATTTACGATAAAATCACTACCATGATCCCTCCATCTTGTATTCCACAATATAATTATTCAAATCAATTGAAAATGTTGATGTACTTTGATTCTTTGAAGAAGTGCTGGTCTAAACAATACATTTTTATTGATTTAGTTAAAAGTATTGAAACGATATTTTATTGTTGTTAAAGGAGTCACTAGATGGATGGAATATAATTTGTTAGGTTAGGTTACGACGTATTATCGAGTTTTTTTTTTGTTAATATGTGAAAGAAAAGTGATTAAGGGGGATAATGCGTTATTCAAAAATTGAAATAAAGGATGTACGTGTAATTTTTGAAAGGTGGAGGAGTTCCTATGGAATTGTCATAAATTATCAGAAATGAAAGAAGTTTGTACAATTTTTAATAAAAAGTGAAAAGATGCTGTGAAATGATCAGAAATCATGATCTATTTAATTTACCCTTACATGGCTAATCAATATAAAACTTCTTGGTTAATTTTTCGACAAATTAGGAGTTTGTTTGAGTCTATTTTTTTTAGAATAAATTTCATAATAATGATTTTTTAAAGAACGTGTGGTTAAAAAGTAAAAAAAAAAATTTGAATTTATGTATAAAATTATTTTACTGAGAAAATATACGATTAAAAATTAATTTAAAAATAATGAATAAACTTTAATGGAAAATAATTACTTGGATGTGACAAGTGTATTCATGTCACATGTTGCCAAAAATGGGACAGACTGTGAACTGACAAAAGCAAAATCAAGACAGTTCAAATGTTTATTTTAGATCTTGGAGTGGGGTGGGCCTTTCACATTGTTAACATAATTGAGCGATGACTTGAATTTCTGACTTAAAACCATAATCTAAGCAGAAGGGTACAAATATCTGTTTTAAGGTTTTTTGTATTTTTACAGTATATAATGTCTTTTCATGCACGTGAAAGGCTTTAATAATTATTTAAACTTCACTTCCTCCCTCAAAATTGTGACGTGTTCAAGAATAAGGAAATGCTGGAAGTACAAGGATAGGGACATAACCCTTACACCCTCTCGGTGGGTGGGATCCATCTCAATAAAAAAGTAAAAAAAAAATGACCCCCACCCCCCTCCTTTGTGAGTTGTCGGTAGGGGTTCTACCCTGTATACCCAGCATTTCCCTCAAGAATATCGATGTAC